TCGTGTTCGAAACGGGAATTGAAAGGTCTATTGCCTCTTTCCATCGCCATATCATTTATCACACTTTCTCCAACGGAACCGGAGTCATTGCGATTTAATAACAAGCACCCAAAATAGTGGATGAACAAGGCTGGCTAACCCTCTCTGTATGCAGCATCCTACGGCGAATTTCCGTTGCATGCTTACAACTGCCGTGTCTTTCGAATTTCATCCTATAAAAGTGCATTTAAGAAGTTCATTCCAGTCATTTTCATGGATGCTATTCAAAAGATTCTTCATTCAAAATCGGTTTAAGTCCTTCTTTGCTAATCGCTGAACTGAAGACCGCAGAATGCCTGTTTCTTTTTAAATACGCCGCACAATTAAGTTGGGGGGGGGGGGACCTACCCTTCGTGAAAATTGAGCTAGGGCGAAGGTGTATCATAAATGTCGCATAGCGTCTCCTCGCCCCTCTTTCCCCTTAGGGCTCGCTCCGATGGGAAGCATTTCCCAAAAATCCATCTACCTCTATCCCTTATCTGATCGAGGGGAACGAATTTCCCCCTTTCTTTGCACCTCCCTTCACCTTCCGCGTTCTGCATTCATCGCCTCGAGACATCGGCGGGGTCAAACGGTTTCAAAACATTTAGTCGTCGTTCGAATTAAAGTGAGATATATTTAGCTAGTTTGGGGCATGTCACTCTAATGCTCTTGCACCGTTCTCCTACTTGAGACATGCTCCTCGATGCACACAAATGAGATTTGAAAATTGCTTAAAATAACATGAAAAAAGCCGCATCACAATGCAGGGAACATACTCTGAGATCGTAGTAGCAGGCTTTTCTTCCCATTTCAGACCTGTCATGGAAAGTGACAGGTCCGCGAAGGTCATAAACGTCGTCTTCATTCCCTAATAGCCTAAAATTATATTTTCTCCATCTTTCCTGGACATGTTCCTTGAACATGGTGAACACGGAGAAACACGGAGAAACCAGACAGTGAGGGCCTTTCCCTTTCATGGCGTGGAAATGACGACCTCATTCGAAAAGGACTTCTCTATTCCATGTCCTGTCCATGTAAACGACTGGGTATGCTCCCCAGCATATAATCGGGAATGTAAACTCTCTTGTGCGTCATGTACAGTTTTTTTTTAGAATGTTCCTGCGATATCGTGTCAAAGACACATCTCGACCTGCAACACAGTGGCAATGGGAGCTGATAGAGAACCTAAGCTATCTCTTGACCTCTGATTTGAATAGAGATTCAATGGGACGAGTTTCGGGGAATCATTTGTCGATGAGCCATACAGCTTTCCACGATGAAAATAGCTCCGTTTTTCTAGCCGAATCATGCCCGTCATTTCAAGAAAGTTTCTATGGAGACCATCATTTATCATCGAATGTACTGAAATCCATGCGTGAGAGAGAAATCACAGCAATCAGAGTCATGTTCTCTTTGAGTATCAACCAAGTCCGGTCTCTTCGACGGGCAAATATGAGAAAGCCAAACTGAAAAAACATATTTCAGTTTGGAGATTGAAACAGAAACCCTCGTATCAGGAATTGAATACGTAGATGCATGCTCTGGCGCATAGGTTCATAGGTTCGTGTTGGCTTTCGTACTGAAAGAGACGCCAAAATCTCTTTCCTGTAGATGGGTGGATATCTGACTATTGATAGACCCTGTTCGCATCCGAACAAAAATGTTCTGACGCTCTTAAGGAAGTTTTACTCGTTGTCCCTCTCCATCCTATGGGCCATCTTTGAGGCAGTATTAACCTCTTTCTTAGATGATGTTGTCAGAGAAGAGTGGTTATCCTGAATGGAGTCGTTCTTTCCGTGGGGAAAAAGGAATTGGGAAAGAATTTGTCCTTTACAGTCTCGTTCCTCGTTGCTTCCCCTCCACTGTCTGGATATGAATTCCTTTCGGGGAGGGGGGGGGGGTTGCTCACCCTCGCCTCATCACGTCCATGAAGGAGGTTCTCCCTTCACAGCACTCGGGTTCAGAATCAATTTGGTGGGAAAACGCCATCTGTGAATACGTATTGGGTAACGAGTGATGCTAAGCATTTATTCTATTCCCATCACGTAAATGTAGAATTCTTGCCCCCCAGAAGACCCAGAACTGATAATTCCCTCGTTCGCTTTCCTGTCCCCGGGCGAAACTGCTAGACCTCATTGATGAAATGGTGAACGTGCAAAAAGTAACCTTCCTGGAGAGGAGATTATGTCTGGAGGAGGGGGATGGTCGTTTTCAGGAAAGAAACGAAGTCATGGGGAGTTTGGAGTTAGAGTAATTGTTCAGAGGAGGAACTGAAGGAATGGATCATGAGGCTGTTGCATTTTGGCCATGAGCGCGCTAGGTTTCCTCTAATGGGAGTCCCCACCACCCAAAAAAAAAATATAAATAAAAAACATTGTCCGGCATGGAGTGATCTCAGTTCCTTATAATTAAATAAATTAGGGACCAGGAGCCCCCATCACCAAGTTCAAGGAACACAATGTCGAGAAAAGATCATTTTAGGCTATTAGGAAATGAAGATGAGGTTTATGACCATCGCCGGCCTGTCACTTTCCATGACTGGTCTGACATGGGAGAAAAGTATGCTACTGCGATCTCAGAGTATGTTCCCTGCACTGTAATGCGGCTTTTTCATGTTATTTTAAATAGTTTTCAAATCTCATTTGTGTGCATCGAGGAGCATGTCTCAAGTAGGAGAACGGTGCAAGAGAATTAGTGACATGCACCAAATTAGCTAAATATATCTCTTTTTAATTTGAACGAGGACATAACGTCTTGAAACGGTATGACCACGCCGAGGTCTCGAGACGAAGAATGTAGAACGCGGAAAGTGAAAGGAGGTGTAAAAAAAAAGGGAAAGTTCGTTCCCCTCGATCAGATAAGAGACCCGATGGAGGTAGATGAATTTTCAAGAAATGCTTCCTGTCGGAGCGAGCCCTAAGGGGAAAGAGGGGCGGGGAGACGCTATGCGATATCTATGCAACACCTTCGCCCTAGCTTAATTTTTTAGGAAGGGTAGGTCCTCCCCTTAATAGACCTTTCAATTCCCGTTTCAAACCCCAAAATTGGTGCGTTTTTTCTGGGCCACCCTGTATGGTTGGTCCATACGATTGTCCGAAGGGTATAAAAATTCATTAGTTATATCTATAGATAGAAGATTGACACACCAGTCTTTAATTGGAAAAAGCATTAAATATAAACCTGCAGGAAAAAGCCAGTCAAAAGAATGATCTCCATCTATAGAGATATGCTGGTTGAACTATCCGGTCTTTTTGTCATATCCTGTACGACGTGGGAGGCCACATTGTATACACTTTCCCATAAAATTCGATATCTTGGCTACTTTCTTTTGGAACAATATTTGGTTGGCATTTCTTTCGGAATAAGCCAGATGTATCAATGAAGAATGTCCATTCAAGTTTCTGCAGAATTTTGCCTCCTTTCATGTAGATGTGGCCAATGGATTCTTTACTTTTGTAATTCTATTGGGAATATATGTATATGTCTTGTGAACAGCACCAGTAATTTGGGTAAAGATGTATGGGGTCATCAGTTTTTTTTTTGCCATACCTGATACATACATGAATAAAAAAGGGATTTGAAATGGATGGAACTTGGCTTACTATGTTTTTGATATCGGATGCCTTAACTTGGCTATGTTGCAGAAATGAGATTGATGAACACTGAACCAATTGTATTCTTGGTGTAGATTCAATCTTGGAAATTATTTAATTGCTAATAGTGTCAATATTGCCATGATAATTGCTATATAAAATCGGTCATCATCTGGGATATTTGTGACAATCAGGATATTTTCTATATCATTTGTTTTACAATATATAAAAAACTATGATTCACAGGGCCAGATTAAGAAGTTGTGAGGCCTGGGGGCAAATGAATTCCTGGGGCTCCCCCCCCCCCCCGCTACTTTAAGCAAATACAGTAATTTTTTTAAATACTTCATGTTATTGATTTTCTTTGGGGCCCCCTGGAAGAGTGGGGCCCAGGGCAACTGCCCCCTTTGGCCCCCCCCTTAATCCGGTCCTAATGATGCATGAATGCAAGTGAATTCTGCATGAAACCTCATCCTGAAAGGTATCATGGAAGAGATTAGTGTTTGGATACTATATATTGGGTGGATCAGAAAGTTCTGGCCATTTTGAGAATTTTCCAGAAAAAAAATTTCTGGAACTTTCTCGAACCTTCCACAGATAAAGGGTGTGTGGGCATGATTACACAGCAGTTGCTTAGTTGTTCAAAGCCTATAACCATGACTTCCAAAATCGACTTTAACAAGACTGCCCAACATCAGTGCCTTCTTTACGACTTCCTATCTGACATCGCAGCAGCTGAATCGAGTTGCCGCATCTGCACTGCATTTGGCCAAGGTGTAGTTTATGAAAGGAGAGTGTGACGATGGTTTAATCATTTCCGGTCTGGAAATTATAGCCTTGAGGATGAGCCCAGGTCAGGCTGCCCATCTGAAATCGACGACGAGCAGTTGCAGCACACAACTCATTAAAGGCCGCATGTCGTGAAGATCACATGGCAGAAACTGCTGGATTTGGGCTGGGAGAATCTGCCTCACCCTCCATATAACCCATACCTGGCACCAACCAACTACCATCTCTTCTGTGCTCTGGACAACCATCTTCACCAGAAAAGGTTCAACGATGTCACTGAGGTCGAAAACTGGCTGACTGATTTTTTTCACTCACAGCCAGCTCAGTTCTACAGGGATGGAATCTGGAGTCTGCCTGATCATTGGCAGAAGGTGATTGACCATGATAGCAATTACTTCGCTGAATGAAGTTTTTTGCTTTTTCAAAAAATCTTGGTTGCATGGAATGTTCTTGAAACAGCCAGAACTTTCTGATTGACCCAATATATAATGATTTATTTTGTACTTGGGATGTGTTTGTCAGAGATGCAGTCACTCAACACCTTTGCCATTTTATCAAAATGGAAAATTTTTAAACATTTTTTTAAATTTCTGACATAGGCACATTGCACATACAAACTCTCACACTTATATCACTTTTACTTCTCACACTCTGAATGTATCCTCTCAATGCGGTTCTTCAACATTTGGGCAAGATGGTAGGCGAGGACAGCGAACGACACACCAGCATTGAGGCTCTCAATCCCATTGGACATTGGAATGAAGAGACGGAAGCCAGTGGTGGATTCACATAAGGCAGCTGCCTGTGGACTGAGACCTGTTTCACCTCCAATGATCAAGGCGATGCTCTCGTTAGGCTCGCACCGAATCTCCTCATAACTCACGACCTGAAATGAATCCTTCCTGCTTAGTTGCTATTAAAATACTCAATGAATACTTTAATTACAGACATGAATACTATTCATGTCTATGATTTTTGTATGAATTTCAAAACAAGGTTTGAATTAAGTTGGAAAGAAAAACCAAAGTTAGAGAAAACACTAGAACAATATATTTTACATTACTCAGGGCTAATTCACTGATGAGATGCATGCACACAATGGATGCTTGCATAATTTCTCAATCTAGAATTTTTCAAAATGCAAAACAAATAAATTTACCCTTGCTGGTCAGTGACTCAACATTTGGCATTCCCCCGTTTTGCAGTGTCTACCAATCCAAAAATAGCTCGAACTGAGTAAAAAAAAAAACCTAGCAATAGAAACTTCTTGTTCTTGAGTCATTATTTCTTCTAACTGTGAAATTAATACAGGATGAATGGAAATGTCATAGGAGAAAAGGTAGATGAAATATTTATTAAAGGGCAGGCTAATTTGAGATAGCAAAGTAACAATTCCCAATGACAAGAAAGCATCAAGGAATTTAAAATAAGAGGAAACTTAAATCTAAAGAAAAAGAATAAACCATGGTTGGTTGAGGCAGTCACTGGAAACCGATTCTTGTCCCCCATGTGTAAGAAACAAAGGGAGTGCAGGGTTAACAGGGTAAAGTGATAAGATGGCTCTATTAATTTCTGTTTGTATCTCACTTACAGCTGAACCTATGATGATGAAGAAACCTAATTATGTCAATTTTTTTCATTGCTTTTAGTCTCACTTGCTATAGGGAAAAAGTTCTCCTTTAATTATGAATACTGGAGAAAAAACCACTCCTTTAGCCAAGGAAGTTATGAAAATGGCTATATGAGACATGAATTAACCACATTTTCACTGAAACTGACTTCCTTATTTAATATTTAATTAGGCACCATGGCTTAAATGAGCACCACTAACAATTAAACATGCATACAACAATTTTAAATGTGAAATCTATGGGCTTGAAAGAGACAAACATGAGAAAACCATTGTATTTTGCATACTTGAAAAAGTTTCCCACATGGGAGGAATATCCCAAGAGACTCTGGTCAATTCAGTGGATTTGCTTGACATGTACATCAAAGTTCAAACTCCTTTTGAACTCGGCCTATTTTCAAGTAAATAATATATTGTGCTACATTGGAATGAAAGGCTCACCGGAATATTAGAGAGGGGAACATGAGGACCTTCTTCAAGTTCTCTTGATCTTTTCTTATAGGAAACAGAGACAGTCCTTATTGGGTCATTCTTAGATATGCTATCTGTTTCCGAAGAGAAAGGGAGGTACGATGAACTGCTGTCAGCAAGAAACACTGTGCAGTCCTGGGGGAGGTGATTGTGAACAAGGGGCCACTCCACATTGGTGATGATTGGGACTCGAAAATGGGCTCCCATGCTCCCTCGCAACACCTTTGGCTCCCATAAATCCACACAACCTAAGTTTTTCAAAATAAGATAAATGTACATCTAGAGAAAACTTGGATCCAGTCACCACCTCTCCTATAAAACTAATACAGATAATAACATATATTTAGTTTCCTGGATATCAGACATTGATGGACTAAAGTAATTACCATGACAAGCAACCTAGAAGATGGAATGAACTAATTCATTAAAACTCAAATACTTCACTGAGTCATTAACATCAGATATCTAAAAAATTAAAGGTGAAATTGTAGCTCATCAGGATCCTGAGCAGCATAAACATTATCACATCTTTCACAATCCCCATAAAGAACTGGCAAAATGCCTCACCCTTAGTGAGGATGACCTTCTGGCATCCCACAGCAGCAGATGTCCGCAATAGTGTCCCCAAATTCCCTGGGTCTCTAATGTTATCCAGGATGGGAATGAGGGAGACAGAGGCTTCTGACCGCATTCTCAATGCCAATTTCTCCACATTTTTTATTGAGAACACACCTGGGAAAAAGGAAAAACTGTCACTTTCATCTCATAAAAGAAAAGAGGAAAATGATAATCAAACAATAAAGTATTATGGTTCACCAAGTATCCCAGGAGGTGTGACTAAGGAAGACCAAAATTTCATGTCTTTATGGGTGGATTGATATATTTGTGAGGAAGTGAGTTTCTCCATGGGAAGTTGTTTCAGCTCCTTCTCCCGTGTGAAGATGATGCTTTCTGACTCCAGGCCGGTTTCCAGAGCATCTCGGATCAACCGTACTCCCTCCAGGACCACCTTCTTCTTTTGTTCCCGCTGCTTCCGTGAATTGACTAGAGATGTCAGTTCACTGTTATGGAATTAAGGGAATTGATTTTGAAAGGACGAATCAAGCAGATGATCATGACATATAGTGTTCAAAGCCACTTCGGTCCATCATTTACAAGGCCCATGCATTAAAATTATCCTTTGAAAGATAGGTGGGCACTATCTTTCACATGCCTCCACACCGTGATGCACATCTAGTTCAACAACAGCTCTGTTGAATACCCTCACTTCTCCTTTCCTTCTCGACCCCCTATGTATGTGTTGCATGAATCCAAGATATGAACAGCTAATTAGAATGGTGAAGGGTATAACTAATAGTGATAGGCCATGCCCTGAATGGCTACCAGAGTATTTTAGCTTTATTTTGTAAGAGTCAAATTTAAAAGGCAACCTGAGTGAAATGAAACCTGCACCTGAAATATCTGAATTACCTGCTGCTCTGCAAACCATACAAGCAAAGCTTCAGATTGAGAAATATATTCAATATATATAACCACTAACAAAAGTGACACCTATGAAAAAATGATATATACATTTGTTCCACTTTTCACACGAAGTAGTGGAATGAAATGCATTCAACTCTGTGGTATTTGCATGGGGCATTGTTTCCAACCCCACCATAAGCATTTTTGCATTGTCTGAGCTTGATTAATTCAGTACCTTTAGATTATAATACTCATGCAAGAGCCTCTTTTATAGCAATTAAATGCAGCAGAACACATAAATGAACAAATATGCAGTGTTTTCATCTCACTATTATTTCCCAAATATTACTCAGAAACTCATTCCCCTCATGACTAGAAATGAGGCAAAAACCACACGATTCCTGAAGGGATGACAATAGCATTAAATACTGAAATATGAGCTTTATTCCCCAACCATTTAAGGAGGCAGCTATACTTTCAAAATTGACAATCTCCCTAAAAGTTGGACTGAGGTACAACAGAAAAAAAAACTAAAAATAAAAAGAAGAAACAGAGAGAGGAAAATTTAAAGAAACATACAAGGAAACTACCATCTTCATAACTGTTCAGAGAACATGAGGATCCAACTTGAGGTGTTAAGATTGGTTTACCATTGTTCTGAGTTCGGTTAATTAGCAATATAGCAATATAATTGAAATAAATGTGCAGAGCTAATGGTTTCGTGTACCTGGAATAAAAAGCAACAAACCTAAAATATGGATCCTTCTCAGTCAGCTTGTTCTTGACAGGAAATAAATCGTCATTGCTAGTTCGGCCAGGCTTAGAGGAGTCCAATGTGCGTCTTTCAATTGCAAACTTATGCTGAACTTCTTTGGAAGCTTGATCGGCGAGAGTGAATGGATTTGAAGACCGCTCAACTTCAAAGAATGGACGGTTAGGGTCCATCTTTTCGGGAGGGAATATTTTTATGGGAGTGCGGTTTATGAATCTCCTGGCGTGTCGAACGCTCAGGATGTTCACCGAGCCGGTAGTCATGAGATCATGGAGACAGGGGACACGGGATTTTAACGAAGATACTCGTGCTAAACTGCAGGTTCTGTAAGTATGCATCTTGGGCGAAGATGGTGTTTCTCGATATGTTTCCGCGAAATGTTAGGTCACTGCCTATTCAGATGCACGTGGCCTTCAAGCCCTTTGCGGATCACCATCATGAAAATCAGGGTTGCCGGAAGAGGTAATATATTCGTGAAATTTAACGATGAGGATTTTCACAAAGTTTGCAGGAATAGATAAAATGCTTTTCAGTCTTTACCAAAAAATGGTAGTTCATTGCATGACGCTGAGGTATGATGGTCGATCACCTTTGGGAGTATCTTCACTTTTTACTATGACCATAGTATTTTCTTTAATGATTCCTTTCATTCAAAACCCCGGATGACATGAGGCTTTAGGACCATCAATAGCATGCTACTAAAACTCTATATACGCCGTATGAGCTTTTACTTGACCCATATTTTCGAGAATAAATTTAATTCCACTTAATTTTTTAACACGCAACAGGGAAAATGATGCAAGCATCACTTTTGCAAGATGGCTGTTCCCTAATGTGAGCGTCTGCCCTGCTGTCTGCTTGCAGTCGTGGGCAAGCTTTCCTTGGGAAAGGAGTTGTACACTTTCAGTGGTGTCTTTGTTGTTTTGCCCCGTTTCATTTTAAAATTTTGATTCCGTGGGTTCAAAGGAATCGTCTAAGCGGTACATGAAGTTCAAGTTTTGGCTAAGCAGACGAAGAAAGAAGAGATATGTGCGCAGCAAGTAGTTCATCTTGTGCTGTTTGCGAGGAAGCTGCCGCCAAATACAAGTGTCCTCAGTGTCGGGCTCCATAGTAAGACCTTTTATACCACCGCTCATAAGTGAAGGCATAGGAGTAATTTATGCTTATGCAGACATTCGACCGAAGGTCTTACTCGAACCGCAGTTGAGGCCTCAAGGAAAACTTTTGCTCGCCTTTATAGCTCTTAGTTTTTCTTTTCTTCTTTGATGCACAGTAAGACGTCGTCATTTCAAAGGCCACAGCTTTTCTTAGTTCACGGCGGTGGCAGGCTCACAAAGTCTCTATTTGCATTGGACTATGTGTCCTTGGTTATGTCCTGCAGTGTTTGGGTAATTAGCATAAGCATAACCTAGTGTAGCCTACAGTCGGAAGGTGCAAACTTCACATTGCATAGGCTCTTTTCTTGAAACAATATATTCTTACCTTTTCATATACTGTTCTCAAGTATTTCTTCTTTTCTGCTGCAATTAAGTGGGTTGGGCTCTTGTTTTTGAAGTTAAGCCTGTCTTCATTCCCATTTGAATGTAAGTGCCTTTGTTCAGTTGCAGTATAGGGTGCTGTAGGAGCCACAAGGAAAAAGGATGCCAGCAATCATGTCAGGCAAAACCAGAAAATGAAGCACCAGAGGGATCAGTGCCCCAGAATGTCACTTACTCACATGTGACTGAGCACACAGTTCCTCCTGAGAGGCTTGTACTCCTTGGTGAGGTTCAAGCTAATATACATTTATTTCTCTGACTCGAATCCGACGAAATCTATAGGTTTTTCAACATATATTTCCGATTTGTTTGCCACAGTTTAGTCATTTGAATTATTACTTCCATAGAGCATTCTGAGGCACTGAAAGGTGTGTTGAAGAATTCACATCTAAGGGAGGTCCTACATACCATACATCAATCCCAGGATCCATGGAATGCTCTGAAAAATGCAATGCAAGAACCCCTATTTGTGGAGTTTGCAGATGCTTGTCTTAAAGTGGTGGACCCACAAGAAGAGGCTGAACAACTTCAAGACTCTGATTCTGATCTCATGGAGCATAATTAGCCATTTTCCCATGTGATATGCAAGGTGAACTATGGTGCCATGCAGTTGCTTATTTGTTATGTTACATTGCATTTTGATAAGAAAAGTATGACCTTTTCAATTTGATAATAAATTGGGATGTTTTAGTGAAGCATAATATTGGAGATTTCTTTGCTTTTGTTGCCTAGATTATTTTGGACTTCAGTAAATGTCCAGTAAGGCAGTATTGCCTCATGTTGGCATTGCATACCTGTTCTTTAAGGTATGGGTGGTGTCATTATATGGGGCTTTGGTAGATTGTATGACTTTTTTGCAATTGTTAGAGGTGCAATGCAGCCTGAAGCAACTCCTCAATCTTTCCCACTGGATTCCTAACAGGATTTCAGAAGTGGGTATATATACTGACCTAATCAGTGGATGTTCCCTCTCTCTGCAAGATTGTCTCCTATGTCATAGTTGCTCAGGGTTCATGCTAGCCTTTTTAAATCTTGAATCCTGGCATGTAACTTCAGCTCTGTGGGAACATGTTCAGGTGGTTGTCAATGAGTCCCATGGACTTAGATGTTTTGCAAATGAGTGAGCAACTCGCTATAGCGAGTTAACGTGAATCATGGGTGCCTATATAATTTCCTTTTCATGGAAATAATTTTTTTTCACATTTTGTGAAGATAGTGATTGCCCTTTTTAAGTGACAAAATTTCAAGATGCATACATTTTATTATGGCCTTATTTTAACCTGTTAATTGCTAGAATCAAGTTAACTTTCCTGTGAATTTTCTAGCTTTAGCACACCAAAGGAAGAAAAGCTATAAATTTTGTACATAGAGGAAGAGTGACTTTAGCCAAAAGCTCGACTACATTTATGCACGATATACCTCACCCCTGAAAATGAATGCATCTAGGTCTACTATGTTTTTATGAGTAGATTTGCCAGGAGCAGTGGAGGATGTGACTGGGATACATTTTTTATAATTATTATTTCAGATAAACTCCTGCTTTGTGCAAGAAAAGCCAATTTTGTGATACAAGCCGAGTACCTGAATCCCGTGCACATCTGTGATTCTTCTTATCAATCATAAATATATTATAGATCCAGAAGATATAGCACAATGTCCAAGATCTTCACCCCAACAAACCAGATGCGCCTCACCAATGTGGCCATAGTGCGCATGAAAAAGGGTGGAAAGCGTTTTGAGATTGCCTGCTACAAAAATAAAGTTGTTTCTTGGAGGGACAAGATGTGAGCTATTTTAATTTTTTTTCTTCTTTATGTGATTTTCCCTGTGTGACTTCTAAAATTGCTCTTTTTAATGGCAGAGAGAAGGATATTGATGAAGTCCTCCAGACTCACACAGTCTTCCTCAATGTGTCGAAAGGCCAGGTGGCCAAGAAAGAAGATCTGATGAAAGCATTTGGCACTGAAGACCAAGAAAAGGCAAATATTATATTTTTTAAATTATAAATCTCAGTAGGGATAAGTGGATGGTTAGAATGCCATGCCAGTGTTTTTCTCATCCAACTTTGATAAAGAAAAGAAAGGGTAAAGTTTTCATTGCATCTGCAGATATTTCTTAAAATCATTATTTTAGTAGTTCTTGTCAAGGATTGACATGCTTTTCCAGTGCTTTGCCATTCAGAACCTATGGAATCAAACTGATTTCTTGTAACTCTCATCTTCCTTATGATGCCTTTAAAATTCTCTTGCTTAAGGTCTTGATATCTAGAGAATGCAGGTATCGAAAATGGACAGATGGTGTTTCGTCTCTGTTTGTTTTCAATGTTAAATAAATGCACATAGCTTAATGAGTAATTTAATGTGGTCTTCTTTTTAAAAGGTGTGCTTGGAAATCCTGGCCAAGGGAGAGCTGCAGGTGTCAGAGAAGGAGCGACATGCCAACCTTGAGTCCACCTTCAAAGATATTGCCACTACTGTATCAGGTATGCCTTGGTCATGTAAAACCTCTATCTAATGTTAAATCTGCTTACCCTCCATTTCAAATGTTATTGTTTTATTTTTATATTTGTAGATAAGTGTGTGAATCCTGAAACAAAGCGACCATACACAGTCAGCATGATTGAGAAGGCCATGCGGGACCTACATTTCTCGGTGAAGCCCAACCGAAATGCAAAGCAACAGGTATGTTTTTCTATAGTAATTCATTGAAATGGCAGTTTCATCTTAGAGAATGGATGTATTTTTCTAAAATATTTGACTTTCCTGTACCAGTATACCAGAAGTCCTATTTTTGGTATGAGGATTCTTACTAAGCTGAATACTTAGCCAGAAATGTAGATGTACTTCATAACTATGTGATGAATCACTTTAATACAAATTTATACCTAAATTACCACTTTTCTATGATGCTGATATGTAGGAGGTCTGGAGGGAAGTTGAATTCAAGCATGTAGTATAGACACTGGTAATACATTGCAGAAAGCAGATTTTAAGTATTTTTTGCAGGTATGCAAAAGCATTGGAAATCTAGAAATTAGAATTTATGTATTGCCTCTCATGCTTGTGCTTCACTGTCTTGTTTCTGTCTTATGTATTGACTGTTTTTCCCTCAAAGGCATTGGAGGTGATGAGGGAGCTGAAGGCAGTGATGCCGATTGAGCGGGCACAGATGCGACTTCGTCTGATTGTCCCTGGAAAAGAAGGCCGCCGTCTCAAGGACAAAGTGGAGAAGCTTGCATGTAAAGTTGAGTCTGAGGACTTCTCTGATGGCCAACTCACTCTTGTAAGATTTCTGCAGTTTTCTCCACATATTTTTTTTTATATCTCCTTTTCTGTCTAAAATATCTTTCTTTGGTTCCATAATTATTCACAATTTCACATTTAATTAGTTGTATGTACCAAACCCAGTTTATCATTGGCATCAATTGGAGTTAGTAAATTATGGCTTAATTGAACAATATTTACTGCCAAACATTTGTCGTTTCAAATATCCTACACTGGTCGTCAGAATTAATGTACCAGGGTTTTGTCGAAAGATTGGGAACCTACACAGCTCAAATGTTTTGCATATGACAGCTGCCCATGAGTGCTGATCCGCCTAAAAAAAAATGGGTGACTCTAGTTTGTTACATCCCAGTTGCACAGCGTGAGGAAAAATGCTGCATTCGATGAAGAATTGCTATGAGATTGATTTCATATTGCTCGTCCCTTGTATCTGAAGCTTTCTTCTGCCAAGACATCACAAAGTACAAAAGGATCTCAATATCAGCGAAGGCCGGTTGGCTTAATATTTATCGAGAGATTGAAATGGTGGAGGGAAAAGAGTGATCGCTCGGACTGTCAAACACCTGGGTAAGGTGCTTGCTTGTGGGCTGCCTCTATGCTGGAGAGATTGGGAAGATCTGCACCTCCACCCAGAACCTGGATCTGAATCTGCTGAAGACCATTTATGAGCATGCCCTCTTGCGTTCTGCAACTGCTGTTTCCTGATTCCATGAACACTTGAGTGCTGAAGTATGATAATGATCCAAAGCACACCTCAATGCAGGCAACCCACTGAAGGGTTGAGAATGGGGTGTTCTCTTTGGACTGGCTGTTGCAGTCTCCCAACCTCAACCCCATAGAGATTGCGTGGGCTCTTCTGGAGGTCAAAGTGGCGCATCAGCACCCCAGAACGATCAAGACTTCAAGAGCAGTAATTGAGTGGGAGAATCTGAGTGAAGAATTCGCCGAAAAATTGGCAGACTTGATGCTGGGCTGATTACATGCTGTAGTTGAAGTGCAGGGCGATTATACTTTGTATCGAGATCAGGGCTCTGTATGTACTTTCTGTTGATATATAAGGTTTTCCTACATCTCTCGTTGAATAAGAGATATCCCTGGTATGTTAATTTTGATGTGTACAGTACCTCTGCCAAGCATATTCATTCCCATATATCTGAAAGGATAGTTTGGATTTGTATGACCAACTGGGAATATTTATTCATATTGATTAACCATGTTTGTCAAACTCACCCAAATATAGAAGCATTCAGTATTTAAAGTATCTTTTGCCAATCCCTATCAAAGACTTTCAGAGCAAGATGAAGTTACCATGTACTGTTGATGACGTATGCTCTTTCAATTTCCCAGGTTTGCTTGATGGACCCAGGCTGCTACAGGCAAGTGGATGAAATGATCCGGGCAGAGACCAAGGGCAAGGGGATGCTTGAGGTCCTCAGCCTCAAGGAGGTCACTGAGGGGGATGAGAAGTGGGAATAGGCTCCATTCGTTCTGGCATGCATTCATCTGTGTCATCTTCTTTCATCTTTGTGACTGTCTTGGTTCAGTTTTTTCTCATTCATCCTTTCCAATGGCATTGTGTTCCTCCATTACTGGCTCCTTTATATGGCAATGAAAGCATCCAAGTCTGTGTGGATTGTTTCCCTCCATTTCTTGTTGGTTCATGCAGTTGCATGTTGGTGCAACTGTGAAGGGAACATCTTCCCTTCCCACTCGTGAAGGAGGCTGATTCATTTTTGTTAGATTTCAGCCTTTTTGTACTCTTGAGTTTTTGCTGCAAAAAAAAAGAATGCATTAAATTCAAACTTACACTATACTTCAAAAGTTTATGCATTCACAATTCCCACAAAATGACGTCCATTTAGTTATTCATCATTGTGCTATTGGGTTAGGTAGGCCTACTGACTGGTGTGATTCTGCCACAGAGATAAGACTAACTAATAATTAGTTGAGTAAGAGGATATTTTCTATGATTGCTGTGTACAGGCCTCATAAATGTGACCCACTCAGGAGTGCCTTAGGCAAGCATGTGTGCCGAGACGTGACGATGTCAGGGGTGGCGGGAGAGGATGGAGGGGATGGCAGAGGAGCGGAGGGCAGGGAGGGGATGCATCGCCTGCGCAAGCGCCTCTCCATTGACTTTGACTCCCCGATCTCTACCAAGAAGCAGCGCATGACTGCCCTCCTCTCTTCTCCAGACCTGAATCAGTTCAAGCTTACTACTCCTGAGGTGAGGGAACAGTAGATAGCTTGCCCAGCACATGAAGTGGCTGGCATAGGGTCTGATCTCTGAAGTTTGTTAAATTGAATATCATTCTTTGCAGAATGTATATGTCAAACTAATAATTTAATTTCTATTTGTTATGTGGGAATTCAATTAATTGATGTCTGTTTGATGAAGGGTTAAACTGAAAACCTCTGGTAGCCCATTGTGAAAATGATTTTGTCATTTTGGTGAATGTTCATTATCTTCACCATATTTGAACTCCTGCTGAAAGAGATTCATCAATACCATTAAAAAACTTAAATGTAATAAATATTATATTTAAGTTTATTTTTATGGTGACTTGCATAGCCCTATTCCAATTGTGAAATTTGATGGATTACATGCTGTAATGGTGTTTTCTGTCCTACCTAGATTGAGCGATTGATCTTGGGTACTCCATTAGCGGGTCTAACACCCAGTGGAGCTTGTTCTGGACCTCCCCTCCCTGTGAGTGTAGCTGCTGCACCTACTGGCCCGGCCAGCTTCCTCTATCCGAAGCCTGGCACTGAGGAGCAAGAGACATATGCCAGGGGCTTTCTTGATGCCTTGTCACAGCTCCATAATGGAGACAATCCTGATCCCAATGGTATGTCCTTTCTCCAAGGTGTCCCAATATTTCCTTCATTGTAAGATGCAGGGGAGATGCAATTTTGAGAAAAGACATATTTTGCTCCATGAAAGCCTGGAATAAGTTGTCTGGAATCTTTTCAATATTTGTTCTTCCATCATTTTCCTATTTGCTTCTGAAGTTTCTGATTTCTGTTGAAGATTGGCTACGGCAAACCCTGAACCATTGTTCTTATGCCATCTGTAGGGAGTGATGAAGTGAGAACAGAATTCCTCGTGGGGAGGGTCCCACCCGAGTCCCAGACGGGTGGGACCTACAGTCTCCCCACGTATGAATCACTGCCAAGTGCATCCCATGGAGATAGCTCCCTCTCCCCTTCAAGCTCATATGATGATCAATCCAACTTGAGCATCAAAGATGAGTCCTTGGATGCGACAGATGCTGCTGTCTCCCCTGTCAACATGGAGGCACAGGAAAAGCTGAAGTTGGAGCGTAAGCGAATGCGCAACCGCATCGCTGCCTCCAAGTGCCGCCAACGGAAGCTTCAACGAATCGCCCAGCTGGAGACCCGCATCCGTCACCTGAAGGGAGAGAACTCAGAGCTGGGGGTCATTGTGACCCGGCTTCGTTCCTCCGTCTACCATTTGAAGCAGGAGGTCCTGGAACATGTCAATTACGGATGCCAGCTCATGATGTCCCCAGAACTTTTTGTGAAGGAAGAGCCTGGGACGAGCCACCATGCGTGTGCATCACAGCCTGTATGCTCTTGATTCTCCCAATTTTCTTTTCTTTCCTTCTCCATTGTCATTCATGTGTTTTGTGCCTCATTATATTGCAAGGTCTCCTCATCTGCCAAGAACTACAGCAGCACATGCTTTTAGTTCATGCTCTTGGATTTTCATCCAAAATTTTGACAGTGAAGTTCTTGAATTCATATTGCATATTATTCTAATAGGAGTTTTTCTTATGCACTTGCTTTGACCATTGTCTTGTCTGTCACATTTGGGTGATTTATGTTTTCCAATGTTTTTCCACTGTGTGTTGCTGATGATGGATCTTTCATGAACTCATGGTATGCTCATTGTTGAGGAGCATGAGGGCCATGCATACTGCTCTTCCTTCTTTAGTCTTCCTTGCTCAACATCTACAAAGGAAAGTGCCACCTTTTGCCTCCTAAATTTTTGGGCATCAAGGAACTTTCGCCAGTATCAAAGTGCCATGGGAAGAGACTCTTCTCAAGTTTGTCTTCCTATTTTTGATTGTCTCCTCGCTCTTCATAATAACTCAGTTGTGATTCCATTCTCTTCTGTATTGCTGACTGGATTCCATGAATGAGAATGATAGAACCGGTGCCTTGTTTTGTGGTTTTGTTTTGCCCTTCGCCTTGTTTTATTTTTTTCTGGAGAGACTAATTTTGCAAAGATTTGCTTTTTAGTACTATATCGCAAGAGATGCCTATTTCCCTGTCCTCTATGCACGAAAGTGATTGCGCCTTAATCTCAGCCTAACCCGGATGTCGTCTGCTGTGTATTTTTCCCTCCCCCAAGATGACAGTATTTTCCAGGGAAGAGACAAACCCCGTTCTAGTCTTGTATCGATCAAGTAAATTATTTTTTTGAGTCCTTCGTGTGCGTGTCCGACTGGTTGTGGATCGCTAACACTTGTCTGGAAGCCACTGCTGGAGGTGAGAGGTTGATCTCAATCTCTGTCATTTTTGGTCAGAAAGGTCACAGTGGCTTCCTGGCACTATTCTTGATGAAGTGTGTGTTTTATAATATTTTTTTGCTTTACTTGTAACCTGGCAATGTTTGCAATAAAGTCCTATTTTACTTTACTGAGAACCCCTGAGTTATTTCCTGGGATTCTGACGCTCCATGCTTGTGGTGGACTTTGCTAAGTTAGCAAACAAAGCATGGCTCCTTTTCAGAAAATGAGTCAGACTCCTAAGCATCATTCCATCAGGCATTAAGTGTGCATTATATATCTCTCCAAAATAAAAATGCCAAATATTTTTCTATAATTGGCAAAATAAGGAAAAGGAAAAGTCAAATAAGTATTGAAGCCATTAGAAAGATGCATGCTATGATGTTGAATTTGTTATTTCTTCTGGAGAAAACTACTTTTATCCTGTAAAAGAAGATCCTTATGTACAAGTAATTTGAATTCTTTAAGTCTTTTTTAATATGTTCCACTAAATGTGAAATGGATTAATTCAATGTGTGTCAGTCCTCATGAGTGGGAATTTAAGCAATTTCTACCTTTTCACTTACTAGTAAATTGCTTGGATTGGAAGCAGTCATCATACATGACATCTGGTACTCTGAAACCCCTCCAGACCCTGTCGGGTCATGGAGACCGTGTGTGGAACGTGGCCTGGAATCCGCAGGGCACAATCCTGGCCTCGTGCAGCACCGACAAGACTGTCCGACTCTGGGCCCAAGAGGGAGACACCTGGGTCTGCAAGACTTCCTTGACAGAGGGACACCACAGGACCATTCGATCAGTGGCATGGTCACCCTGTGGGAAGCTCCTTGCATCTGCTAGTTTTGACGGCACCACTTGCATCTGGGAGAAGAAGGTTGAGGATTTTGAGTGCATTGCAAGCCTTGAGGGACATGAGAATGAAGTCAAAAGTGTGGCTTGGTGTCCTTCTGGAGCATTATTGGCAACCTGTAGTCGTGACAAGAGCGTCTGGATCTGGGAGTGTATCGATGGCGAATATGAATGTGCTAGCGTCCTCAATGCCCATGTGCAAGATGTGAAGAAGGTAGTCTGGCATCCCCATGAGGAACTCCTTGCTTCAGCCAGTTATGATGATACCATCAAGCTCTTCCGGGAGGAGCTGGACGACTGGACCTGTTGTGGGACACTTCGTGGTCACGAATCTACTGTTTGGAGCCTGGATTTTGATGCTGATGGTTCTCGACTGGTTTCAGTGAGTGATGACCAGACAGTGAAGATCTGGAAGGGTTATGATGCAAATCAGGCCTCACAGTTGGGTCTCCCACCACCAGAATCTAAGAAGGATCGTGTATGGAAGTGCATCTGTACTCTCTCGGGCTATCACACGCAACCGGTCTACGACGTGTCGTGGTCGAAGCTGACCGGCTTCATTGCGGCGGCATCTGGTGACGACTCCATCTCCATTTTCCAGGAGAAGACCGAGTTGGGACACTCGGATGACCCAACCTACGAGATGGCAGCTCGGTGTGCCCAGGCCCACGACCAAGACATCAACAGTGTCCAGTGGAACCCAAAGGTCCCATTCTTACTTGCTTCGGCTAGCGATGATGGACTTGTCAAGCTCTGGGAATATGTCAGCTGAAGTTTTCTGCTTGAAGTATATTTCGTGTTAAAGTTTTTTGGGCTGTACTGACCAGAGTGAAGTGCTGTGTTCACCTTGGAATTTTGTTTGAGGAGGTGAACACCAAGAACCCCTGAAGAAATGGTGTTAATCATATTGTACCAATCATCTGTCAATTGGTGCTACTGGACCAACCTATCAAGGGGACCAATGCTTTCTGGCTTGTATTTTCCATAGCATCTTCAGTTGATGCTGCTTGTTTCTATCATGATACAATCCAATACAATGTTTTCAATAACCCTCAAAAATTGATGTGTATGTTCTTGATTTTTTTTTATTCATATAACAAAAATTAAGTTTTCTCATCCTGGTCTGTCCTGCATACCCTGCAGGGGATTGAGTCTATGACTCAATCTGAGCCCTGAGAATCTCATCCCAATATCTCCTTGATTTTGCATCATTGTCTGGCCTTTAAATGGTTGTTTTAGTGTTGTATTGATATTGTGTTATAATGGATGCCACCTGATATTTTGCATATCGATTTTCACATATATGTCATTGTTGCTATTTATTTATGTCAATATGCAGGAGTGTTTTTTGTTGGAACTCTGACACCCAAGTGGCCAAACATTTTTCAATGTCGTAACTGCTTTTATGTTTGCTGTATGCATGCTGTTACTCACTTTCTATATTGGTGGAATTTTTTTTTGTATCTCTTCTTCTACCAAGGCACTATCACAGCAAAGCCCAAGGCTATTTGGATTAAATCAATAAACCAACCACTGCTATGCTAATGTCCTCGGAAAGCCATTTTTTAATGTCTCTATTCAAAGTCACATTGTTGATGAGGGCTTGCTCCTGGATATTTTTCCCTGGAAATCTGAATGAATGGCTTTGCCTAGAAGGAGTTTGCCTGTCAGTAACATTATGCATGAAATGGTGGCTCATTGCCAGAAAATCCCGTTGACAGATAACTACAGTGATTCTTGAAAACCTGCTCCTGAGGAAACCTGGCTTGAGAGCCATGGATTCTCAAAAATTCTTAACCTGCTTCTTAAGGCTGTATGCCATTCTGGGGAGTACCTCATTAGAGGGGAGTCACTAGGAAGCTCAGCTACAGATTATGTAGAGAATGAGGGAAAGGTGTGATGTTTCAACTGTATTCTATTGCAATCAAGATGTAAGCAGCTGAAGGTCCCTCATGAAGTGACAAGCTTACTTTCATAGAATATTTTCATTAACTATCAAACCAGGGGTGTTGTATCCATAGTCCAATTTGGAATTCTATATGGCATACCCAGCTGCTTTATTTATGCAATATATGAAGGAATATGAGAGAATGGGTAGGTTGATGTCTGTGAAAGATGGATTTTAAACCATTATTCCATTCCAGATTATATTATTATGAGGCCTATTGCTTGGATGTAGAATTTATCTGTTTCTTTTAGGGATATGGTGAAGAGCAGACAAACTTTGGGGTGCATATCATGTGACATTTGAGCAGAGTCAATGAAAGAAAGCACAGACACATTTCAATGATAGAGAGCCACCCTCAGTCAGACTTTAGTCATGATTCAAGTTTACAGAGCCAGTATGATGGAGAGGTAGTAGACTATGTACAGGGTCTTGCATAACCTTTTGCTAGGGGGGTACAAACTTTAGTATGAATAGAACAATTATAAGTAACATCTCAATTTAAACCTGTGTTCAACCTGAATACAGCAATGTAGCAGTATTTTGTGTGACTGCCATTCGCTTCGCGTGCAGCCCTTAAACGTTTATGGTATAATTTCCACAAATTTTCAAAAAGTTATGCTTTATTTTCCAGTTCATGAATAACTTTTTGGAAGTTTTGAAGGATCAGAATTGCAGCAAAAGCCAAGGTCACCAATCATCATACTTTCTATTTTGTCCCTCTACCCTTTATCCCTTTTTTGATATGGTGTTGTCGCATTGTCGATGGATTACCAATCTTTCCAAAGCTCTTTGAGATGCCTTTTGCAACTCAACTGCAGCTTTTTCTCTTCATCTTTTTCCACTGTTCTCCATCACAATGTTTTTGCTCTCTTCAGACAAATTTTCCAACTGCTATCACCAAATTTCGTAAAACAAGATTCGTATTCTTTTTGGTCCAGCTGTCAGTAACTCAATCTCTCCTTGCGATGCAGCAGTGAGCTATTTACTCTCGATTGGTAAATGTTGTGCCTGCTTCCCTTGCTTCTTGATAGACGTAAGCTTGAATGGGGTCAATCACGCTTTACCTCTCGTCATTGCCAAAGACCCCAGGCATGATATTTTTCAATAACTAATCTGAAATCAGAAAAAAATTAGCTTTTAAGATACATATATTATTCGTATTTTTAGAACTCCATAATTGCTGTACCCCCCTAGCAAAAGGTTATGCAAGACCCTTTATATGTCTGAATCCTGGTTATGTAGAAAGAACATCATTCCACATGAGAACTGAGCTCCCAGGAAGCAGCAGTTTACCAAGAAGCAGCCCATGCTTGTGCTGTGCCAAGTCAATGTGATGGGGGAATTTTCTACAATATGATATTCTCCGTAACTGAATCAAGAGATTCCAAGCATTGAAATGGAAAGGAATGAGCCATGCTCACTCAGAGGCATGAGGAGTGCTAGGATTTTCTCAAGGTGTATTATTTGCTTATAAGTATATGAAATATTTGGATAGGGACATGTTGGCAAGCCATATGTCTGGAATTTCAACATTTTTTAAATCAGGATTGTGAGTGATATCTGCTTTTTCTGGCATGCTTTTTCAGTTCAATATTACATGTTCAACAACAAATGACCATGGAGGGAGATGATCCTTAGAAGAGCAGTGAACGTCTTCAATGGTCGCTCCATTCCTGCACTTCATATTTTAAAACAGTGGTGATGATTCACACATTCCATATTCTGACTTTCTCTCAGTCTCATTATTATATGCTTTAATGAAGGAAACCTGATCAAAACTATCACTGCATTTCAAATCTACAGGGTGAGTCAAAAGTCTGGACACTTGGGGCTAATGTGTGTTTTTTTTTTGCTTGTGAGTCAATCTAGACCCATGTCCTAGAATCAGTCCACAGCAAATTTGAAAAAGAATCCAGAAATGTCTAGAGAACAATGGACAACATATAGAACACATATTGAGCTCAGTTCTATATGTGTCCAGACTTTTGACTCACCCTGTATATACCTGGTAAGCCATTAACAAAATATGGATCTGTATGAGTGGAACAGATGAAGATCTAATTGTATAGTTGTGAACTCATCTTTTTTTCATGTTTCAGATAAATTGTTTTAGATTTGATAACAGTGGAACTTGTGGCAGGTGTTCTCAGATGAGTGGCGAAGGAGAAGAGAGGCCGGGGATGGAGCTGAAGGAGGTGCTGGAGCAGCTGGAGTCGTTCGCCCCACTCTCGGCCTCTGAGCCTTGGGACAACACGGGCCTCCTCTTGGAACCGCCCGAGTCGAGGTCGTCCTGGGTCAGGAACCTCATGCTCACCAACGACCTGACAGAGTCCGTCCTGACCGAGGCCATAGAGAAGTCGGTCGAACTGATCGTGTCCTATCACCCACCCGTGTTTTCGCCCCTGAAACGGATCACGGCTTCATCGTGGAAGGAGCGCATCGTTGCCCGGTGTCTGCAGAACCGCATTGCAGTCTTTTCCCCACACACCTCCTGGGATGTCATAGAGGGTGGCATCAATGATTGGCTTCTACTTCCTTTCAGTGAGTCAAGGGCATAGGCAAAGTTTACTTTTTTTGGAATTTTATTAACTTCCAGAGATATTTTATCTTTGGGATTTAATGCAGGCTCAGATTTCTGTCAAATTTTTCATGTTCTGTTGCACTTTCTTTGGATCTATGAAGCATGTATACCTTTGACGAACTCCCTTTCCTGCTGGCTGTAATTTTTGCTCAAATAAATTATTTAGCCTCACATGCTTTCTGCTTGTAGACATTAAAACATGCAAAAAATATGAAATAAACTGTCATTTCCTTATAATGCTTGGCATTTTGTTCACCCTGAGAAAGGATTCCAACATCAGAGTGAATCTCCCAAAGCATTTTCAAAATTATAATGCACACTATGGGTCTGTCACCCTTACCATTGCCCTATTTTGTTGCAAGTTCTGCATTCTTTCATCTTTGTTTTGAGTGTAAATCACTCCATGCTGGGTTTGATTAGATTCACATGTGGCAAGTGTGGACTCACTGAAGCGGGGTGAGAACCAGAAGGTCGGCTGCACATACACGATCCAGCTGCCCCACCGGGGTGAGCTCTCCGAGATCGATGCCTCTGTCATCACCCAACTGATGAACTATCGACCTACTGGCATGCTGTACGTCCTTGTATCTTTTCTCTTAGATGCTGTTTGAACCCTTCATTGACCTTTGTTCTGACATCTGATAATGCATTCACACAAGCCAGTTAATATCCATTCCATTGCCATCTCTGGATTTCCATTCAAGGAGTTCTGCTCTATGATATTCTTATCTATTTTGGTGGAAAACTCAATTTGTACTTGCTATCGTTTTTTCACAAAATTTATTTCTTAAGGAAAAAAAAAACCTTCTGAGTTCCACCCAGAGTTGCATGTTCCTGTGCATAATCACCATTACTATTTGGAGATTCATGGCTGGTCTGTTGGCTTTTATCTACATGAAGTAATGCATTCATAGTGTTATCATTGACTAAACCTAAAAAAGGCCATGGGTTTCATCCTATGAATTTCACAAAAACTAAAATATTGCAAATTTAGATAAATTGTTATTGATTACATGACATCCTAAAGTGCTAATCTGGTCACCTTTCACCTTTACCTGTATATATTCAATAAGGGTCCTCAGCAGCAATGGGCAACTGAGCTCTTTAAATGAATATACATGAGAATTCTCATATAAATGAGAATATGAATATGAATATCAGAAAAGTACAGAATGGAATTTGAAAAACTTAGAGGATGGAAGGTCTTCTTGGTGGCTTAAAAATTTCAAAAATAGGTTCTAACATCTATAAACTTGAGATTTTGCAAATTAGGAATATTAGAGTGTAATGCTCCAAGAGGGGTAATTAAAAGTAGTTAAGTGATTATGCATTAGTAAATCTATAATAAAATGAATTGGAAGGAACTAATGTAAATTCAAAGAATACATTTATTGGCAGGAATTTTCTCAAGTGTACTCCATAATCAGAAACCCAGGTGCAGGGTGGCATGGACCAAGAACTATTCATTTGAAGCTACAATTGCAAAAATATTTGTAGAAAGGGAAATAGTGGAAGTACTAGGAGCAGAGAATTTCCAGTGAAGGTGGTGAATAGAGCATGCTGATTTGTTGATGCTTCAGGTCGTACTCAATGATCGAGGGAAAGACGCAGATTCAGTGTGCAGAGACACACTTCCCTGTCATCCTTGGCATCATCATGGCCTCGCCCCACTATGATCACAACCTCCACATCACTAAGAGTAATAAGGTGGGTACCTGTTCTCAAGGGATTTTTGAAATAAAACTAATATGATGTGCATCTTATGATAAGACATTCATCCGATTCTGTCCCTGCATAATTGGAAATTGCTCATTATTCGTAGGCTTTTATCATTATTGAGAAAGCAAGGACTGTGAACTGCTTTCCTTGGAGAAAAGGAACTAAAATTTATCTGTGGAGCTGATAGAGCCCATTTGTTGTTGGATTGCAGCCTTGGACATCGGATCGGTCGGGAGCTGGTCGCATCGCTCTCCTCGATGGGATGCTCAACATGTCGGATGTTATCAAGATGGTGAAGGAGCATCTCGGTCTCAAGCACGTACAGGTTGCATATGCTGTCAACAAGGGCAAAGGTGGGTCTCCCTAATTCACACTTTGTTCCTTGCTTCCCTAGGATTCTTTGACTCCACAAGGAGTTTCCATTCCATTGTTCATCAATGGACTTCTTCTTGGGGCTGCTTTAAGGTAATTAGAAGGATTCCTAACTTGCCCTGTACAGAAGGGCATTTGTTGAGTTGTCTCAATGAAGCATCATCTAAGCTGCATCTCTTGTTTCCATTGCACTGTTAGGAGTTCATATACTGAATTTCATTAAAATTGCACAACTTCTCATTGCCATTGCAATTTCAATTACACCTCAAGTATCTTAATATGGAAAAGGAAAATTCATCATGGACTTATTTTTGTTTGTCCACTATCCTAATATCATAAACAGATATTAGGAAACTGAAGTCAGCATTCACAGCATCCTCCCTCTTTAACCATTTTCCTGCTACTTTTTCTTATTCACATATCCCTATTTTGAATTTTTGTTTCTACTGTGCAATGGTGTACCTAAAAACGTATCATATATATATCCCCCTCATTAACCTCATTTTATGTAAATGCATGATGGGACTGGCACATATCGTTCTGAAAAATCTCAGATAAGATGCACAGGATGAATTGTTGCAAGAAGAGACACACTTCCATGATCAAGTTAATTTGTTACTTTCAGTCTTCTTTGAATGTTCTGCAGTTTATAGACATTTACTAGAGCCTAATGATGTCTTGTTCTGCAGTATTTTTTGGTGGGACAGAATGGAATAATCACAATTTCATTTTTTTTACAAATATGTTTCACAGTGTCTCAATTGAATCCTGGCTTACATTAATGTAGTAATTGCAATTTCCTCTCTTTTCCAAAAGTTAAACACCAAATAATTCTGCAGTGTGAAATTTCACACTGCAGAATTTATCAAGCTCATCAGATGCAAGAGAATCATTTAGAGTGTAGCAATATTTGTTGAGATCTCTGAATGCAGATTCGGCGATTGGGAGCATTGCGGTGTGTGCGGGGTCGGGCGGGTCGGTGCTCCGTGGCGTCCGGGCAGACGTGTATGTCACGGGGGAGATGTCGCATCACGAGGTCCTGGATGCCGTACATGCCGGCTCCCACGTCATCCTCTGTGGCCATTCCAACACGGAGCGGGGGTTCCTGGATGGTTTTGCCACCCAGTTTGCCATCCTGTGTCGACATCGGCTCGGCATCCTCGTCAGCAAGGCCGATGCCGACCCGCTTTGCATCATCTGATCCTCATTGCACTGAAAATTCTTGTCTCTCCTTTTGCTGGTGTTATTTGCTTCATGGCTGCTCTATCGTTAGCTCCAACATGGCACAATGCAATCAGTTACTCTTAGATGGCATTTGTAGCAGGATTGATAGAAATGGTAACTTACAATGACTCAGAAAAGCATAGATGAAATTGCTGATGTTGATCGATTTGGTTTTCACAACAAATTTTTAGCCATTATTTCTATGTGGAACAAGTCAATGACTGGATTCACTGTATTTAAGGTAAACTTTTTAAGTACTGTCTTGACTTGAACCAACGCAATACTCTACATGAGTTTCTTTTGTACAAGACATTACTTTTCCCTATCATGTCAGAATCCGAGGAATTGAATGACACTGTTTGTGCCTTGAGATAAGGGTGCAGCTATCAAGTGGTTGCTTGCTTATTACATGAAGAAGAGAGATAGAGATTATAAAGGCCTTAACATACTGCCTTGTGATGATCATTTGTTGACGTCAATGTCATTTGTCATGGAATATATTGGGCTTCTAGAGTCCTTTACTGGAATATTAAGGGAATGAGGTGCCAAAGGAAGAAAAGATAAGTTCACACTGCATAGTTGGATATGAGAAAGATTTATTTCACCTTTTTGCAAAAAAATACATAAAACTGAGGATTTCCTTTAAAAGTGTGGCTTAGCTTGTATGTTACCTGACTTTTTTTTGTACGAGTTGGTTTGTAAGCAAAATTATTAGTAAAGTTTTAATTTTAACTTTGTTGGATGTTCCAAAAATTCTCCAAAACTGTTGAGGTTGGTAGGACGAAATTTGGCATAGAAGTAGCTTATGGACCAATAGGAAAATCAATGGTGGTGTACCATTCCCATTTATTGGATCTTGGGACCCGAAATGCCATCGGAAAATCTTTTCACAGAGGTGAACACGATGCGACAAAGGGTTAAAGTAAAAAGGAAAGGTTGAATATGCAAATGAGTGCTTTGGGATTGTCTTCTGTCATCACTGACAGGATACAATTCCTCCTTTCGTCCGGCTGCCCTCTCGCCTTTATCCTCCCATCATCACTTCATGGGGACCACGGCTAGATCTGCCAAACTGAGAAATGAAATTTTTGATGGTCGAGGACCAGAAAGCGATGGCATTTTCTTTCGAGTAGGTGACAAAATTAGGGTCGGCTGCCCCCTCCCCTTTCCCTTCCCCCCCCCCCCCCCCACTCTCCCTCTCCATGGCTCCATTTAATGCTGGCTCTTGCATAACTTCTGGAGTCCCTTTGAGCATGCGGGCAGTATCCTGTAAACTATGGGATCGGTCATCTCAACGAAACAGAAGCTTCCGAGAATGAGTGAAGGTCCCTGTGGCATCCTCCTCAAGCAACGCTGTTCGACTGCAATCTAATCTAGTTACAGGAACTCTGCACTCTATGAGTGAGGCGAGCGTCAAAAGGAAAGACACGGGCATTTGGAACGAGACACGCAATATCTGCTGGCGACCTGCTGTTGCGTGCCTGCGCAAATGAAATCGCATTTAGATGCCTTGGAGATGTGGACCAGTGTGTATCAAAACTGATGTCCGGTATGACAATTCGTGTCGACTTTGTTTCACAACCGTTGCCTGTCTCGATCGCACTCAACATTTTTCCTGATGCATTTTTTTTCATTATGTTGTGCTATCGAAGCAGCGATGGCTGTTATGTAGAGGAAAATATCCATGTTTCATTGGAGGGAGCGACTTCTGGGCATCACCGGGATCACTTGAGGTCAGCGGCGCGGCGTCGGGAATGGCCACGTGGGGCATGTGCCCCGCGCTTTTCGAGAAAGGAAGCCAATAGTAACAAGATGGGCAAGCCCGGTCCAGTCGTGGGCCTCCTTTCATTTCGAGAGACCCTAATTTTGTCACCTACTCGAAAGAAAATGCCATCGCTTTCTGGTCCTCGACCATCAAAAATTTCATTTCTCAGTTTGGCAGATCTAGCCGTGGTCCCCATGAAGTGATGATGGGAGGATGAAGGGTTGTGCGTGGTTCGACCCATCCACCACGAAGGCTAGTGGAGAACTGAAGGTATTGGTTAGGGACACGGCACCGCAACCAAGGCCTGGGTCTAACGCGCATGCGCATTGAGATCCAGGTCCTTAAGGTCTCGCGGGAACTCATGCCATCCCCACCATGAGCAAATTTCAATTCTAAAATTCGCCATAAAATTTCAATTTTCGGGCTTACTTGCCTCAAAACGAACTTAGCCTTGCTCCATCATTATTAACTCATTTTGCTCGTTTCTACGAGCCAATTTTCGCATCGGTTAGGCCAATATTTTCTTCGTTATCGTCAGACAACCCAAATGAGGACACACAGACGGACAGGACGAGATCAGATTTTTCACATATTAACTCCCCCTCCATTAGGGTGGGTAATCAATGTTTCATATGCCCTTACGGATTTCCTGGGCACGCCACTGGACGGGATCATATGTGGTCTTTTTCCGTTCAGGAAAGGAGGCCCACTAAAAAGTCATGAGAACAGTATCCTGGGGTTCTTGTTCCCCCCCCCCCCCCCCTTCCACTACTTTGCCATCCGCGCTACGTTTTTGCTTGGTGGAGTTATTCACGGATTGAGCAATGAAGACGAAATTGACCTGTCAAAGGCTCAAGGACAGTCATGAGAAAGCTCGAGAAAAATCAACTGTAGGGCTCTTTGGCATGGAGAATTCAGAGATGCACTCGGCTGACGTTCTCATGAGCCTTGCGACGCGTGAGGGGTCAGGTGCGTCGGTGCTCCGCGGAGTCCAGACAGACGTGAACGCGACGGGGGAGATGTGACGAGATCCCGGGCGCCGCACGTGCGCCGGCTCCCACGTCGTCCTCTGCGGCCATTCCGACGAGGAACGGGGGTTACTGCGCCGGTTTGCCGATCGACAATCACCCACAATGTATCGTCGCGTATATGTTGCATTTGGGCAATCTTCTCATTCTGGTGTTGTTAAGTTAATGGCTGCTTAATCGGTAGTTTATCTACTGTCATGCAGTTACTCTTTTATGACATTTGTGGCAAGATTTCAAAAGAAGAGCACGATAACCAGGGCATATTGCTAAGAGTAGACGTCATCAAAGTTGTCTATATTTTTACACTTTGAAGTGAATGAAACTACACACTTCCCCGCCGGCCATCGTGGCCGCGTCCCATTACGATCGCAATCTCCACATCACAAGTCCAACAAGGCGGATACTTGCTCGGGAGGAATTCGCGATGAAGATATACGTAGCACGCCTCGTAATTGACGTTCGTCTTCTTCGGTCCCATTCTGTCCTCGCTCGATTGAAAACATAAAAGTCGGCTTTTCGTCCAAGGCACGTTAGATCTCGACAGTGAAATCTTGTCTTCGTTCTCGACTGCGAATGGAGAGTTTTGGTGGAAGAGCGGGGAGCTTTTAAAGAGATACATTCGATTTTTGAAAATATTCATCCTCCGAGAAATGATGAGTATTTCTACGATACCCTCATAGAAATACCCTCAGAGTATTTCTATGAGGGTGTCACTCATGACTTTAACTTGGGAGGGGGGGAGCATAGCTTAATAAAACCTGCATAGTTCTCATGGTCCGGTGAGCTCTACACGGTATAACAGCGGCATAATTGAAATATCAATTTCTAAACGACTGAGGCAAAAAAAAAGAGCAGAGATATAGAGGAAAAAGTAGCATGCTTCGGCTCCTGTGGCCTCCATGAGGCCTTCATTGCTTTTGCCCTTGAGGGCTCCAACAGCCGAAAGGTGCGATTTTCACGCCTCTTTTTTTTCTTGCACCGACTCCATCCATGGCATTACTTTGTCTCCATCAAAAATAGCAAATGGAAGGAAATAAATGCAAGTGTCGGGTCATCGTTATTATTTCCTCCTACGAAATCTTTACCTTTTGCTCATCATTGCTCGAGTCAGAAGTCCTCCCGTCCCTGGATGGTTGAAATATACATAAATAAATCATACCTTTAAGTCAACCGCTTGTGTATACAGCACTTCGAGGCGAAAGAGCATAGGAGTTTTGCAGTGAGACGTTAGTTTATACGTCTAATTTATTTGATATCATCTCACTGGAGAAATTCGAGGCAACGAAAACACGAGGCTTCCAGCACTTCAAATAATACTGGATAATACCCCTCAGAAGAAAATGAATATATTCGCTGGAGCTTAGGGATCAGGGAGCGTTTCACGGGATTGCAAATGTTCCGATATCGAGACATACGAGGCATATCAGATAATACCCCAAATCTTAACCAATTTATCCCTGCTCTTTTTTGTAGGTATTGCAGGTGCAGAATCTAGATTCTGTGAAAATTCTGATTCTGAGCGCCGATTAAAATGTTCCCAATGGAAATTCCCAAAGAGCTCGCCGAATTTAATGTGATTTTGGCCCTGAACACTTGGACTGCCCGTGTCCGGTCGACTGGAAAATTAATGGATCGCTTATCCATTAATTTTCCCTTTGCACTGACACCCTGTGGCTTTGTGGGGATTGATGGGGAGTCGATGTGTTGAAAAGAATTCAATGAATCGCGTAGAATTTGAAAGGGGATCGCTTGAGAAATACAAAAAAATGCGAATGAAATGTGAAGAGGTCGAAGAAAAGTCACGTATCGATGAATTCGCATTTGAAAGGATGAGCTGTTCTTCGGTTCCCTTGCGATGAAATTGAATGAAGTGAAATGCATGCCACAAGGAAAAATTGAACTTTTAAAATTCAATTCTAAAAAAAACAGGCGCATGCTGAGAGCCGATAAATACTTGCTTAAGGGAATCGCACATTCACTTTTTTTTTCGGTATGCTCTTCCAATTTGCAGAAAAAGTTTATTCGACGTAAACCAAATTTATTTTCTTCTTAAATTGTTAACGATGGAAGCGCGTTTACTCAAGGTCTTAATCGGGACGATAAAAATAACTGAACCTAACTAGAGTTTTTGAAACTCTTCAAATTTGGATAAAGACTATAAATTTCCTATTCACAAGTGAAACTAATTTAAAACTAATCTAACCTATCCTGACGCAACGAAACCAAACCTAATCTAGCCTAGCCTAACCTACTTTAACGTATTTTTTTTTTATTGCCATGATTAAAATAAATTATATTCTCAGTTTTGGCCAGGGACACACGATAGAAATACGAGGGCTGTTCATTTCATTCGTGGACATGGTCAGACAAGGGCAGAAGTCCCCTTCCACGAGTCCGAGGATCGAATCAGCAGTCCTCGTATATACTGTGCATATCGTTAGCATCGATTTAGAGGCCATAACTTGGAAAACTTCTTCACAACAAGTCGGTTTTGCTAAAAGAAAGCCGTGAGTTGGGATTATGCTAAATAGAAAAAAAGTTGCAAATTGGAATGTGTTGCCATTAGCTATGTACACCCTAAAATAAAGTGAGCGTCTTCAGTCATTTGATCACTTTTTTTTATTTCCGAGAGTGTATAGCAAATAGGGGAGCTGGAAATTCCATAATTTCTTCCTACATACGATCCATCGCGAAATATTCTAGAATTACCGCTCCTGTCCTGGCAGCGACACGGCTTCGCATGGATCAATGACATGTAGGGTGGGCCAGAAGTAAGGACTCACTGTTTAAAATGCGACTTTGGAACGGTTGCACATATTTTCACGAAGGTGTTGGGTGGCCATATCCATCTGCAACACTGACCACACATGAGGCAACATGGCGGATGTGCGCAAAAAAAACACCCTCGATACTAGAATTAGTTGCGAGATTAATTTCCTTGACAGTGAATGCTACAGAGGTACAAAGGAGAATGCGAAAGGAATTTGGAGGGCCAACAAGTCCAAGTCGGCACGACTCATTTCGTTTTTACTGGAGAACACTCACTCTTCAACCCGATTTGGACTATGGATTTCAACCCGATTTCGATTAAGGACTATGGCAGGACGTTGGCTTCATTTTACTTCCTAACGCACGTTCTTTGGTGAAAGTTCATGTAATGGTTTCAATGTAATAACGTTTTCATGCGAGTCATTACTTTTGGCCCGCCCTTTATTGTAGTAAAATCTCTATTTGATCATTGTCATCAGGTTTCTCTTTTCACGCTAAAGAAATAATGCTCGCG